GGTGTCACCTCTTCCAGGCAGACTTCTGGAATGTCCTTCCAAATGCCTCTACTAGACCTCATTAGAAAACAGCGCTTTTATTTGACAGAGCACTTATTACACTGTAATTATCTTCTCAATTCCCTACTAGACCGGAAGCTCCCAGTGAGCGTTCAGTAAATATTTTGTTGGGTAATTATTGTGCAGTGAATGGTTCACAGTTTACACAGTTTACATTTCCTTTCTCTATATAAATTTGAATGACCATTATAAAGTATCTTATCTCTCTATGCGTTTGTTTTTATTATCTTACACTTCAGTATCTCCTGTCCACTTGCTTTTTCAAACACAACCTAATTGATTTAAAAATTCGCTGAACTCTTAGAAATCAAAATAATAAGATTTGGAGGAAGCTGTTGGACTTCGGGCTGGTCCCTCACGCTCTCTGAATCTCAGATCATTCATGTGCAGAAGGGATCATTGTGCAATGATCTCTAAACTCTCCTCCACTCTGCCACTCTGAACCTCTGGCTTGAGCGTTCTCTTTTTAAGGCCCAGAAAGGCTAACTGGTTTTTCCCAAGGTTAGTGGCAAGATATTCTTAGCCTTTCTATAGGTTTTTTATAGGTTTTTAATAAGCTGCACACAAGAAACATAACTTTTCCCAGAAACTGGCAGTGCCACTGAATTTGTGGGAAAAATAATCATAAGAGAACTTAAAAAAACACACAAAAAAACCAACACCCAGAATGGATTCCTGCCTAGGCAGGTCCTGACACTTTTTAAAACAGTCTTGCTATTGTCTGCTATTAAATGGAGAGATGTTCAGCTTTCCTTTTTAAATTGGAAGTGAAAAATTCAAGAATTCTGTACATCCTGACCCCTTGTAGTGGGGAGGCACAATGGGCAGACACAGCCTTCCCGAAGGTGCCAACAGAAACGTCCACATACCTTTCTGAGTGCCGAGGCCCTGGGGCCCTGGCCTGGAACCACTCTCAGCTACAGCTGTGCCTCACCAAGAAGAGACTTGGCCTCAGTTCTCCCATCCTTCCCCTGCCAGAAGTCAAGGCCCCGCTTTTCCTCATTTACTTACGTTACAGAGTTTGGGTTTGGATGATCTGCTCTGTAAAGCAGAAAGTCAACAGAAAGACACCCCTTTGGGAGAAAAAAACCTAAAACAGTGATATTTTATTTTTCCTAATGTAAGATGTTGCACCCTATAACTTAAGCCAGTGTTTAATTTGTTGCCTTTTTCCCCCTCTAAAAAGACCAACAGTAGTTTGCCTTTCACTGACACAAAATTTGACAGAAAATTATAAGAAGATATGGACTTTGAAGTGCATTCTTACAAAGAAAAAAGAAAGTCACTTACTACTCTAACTCCATATAAAATACTATGCACACGAGGACCAACTTTGACATCAAATAGTTATAGTCCAGTGATGAGCTTATAGATGACTTTTATTTTATTCTTTAGGCTTCTCTGATTTTTCCAATTAGAAAAATGAACACACATTACTACTCTAATCATAAAAAGGTGCAAACATTAGAATAAAAATTAGATATACTATTGTTTTCACTGTTATGACAATCGACTAAATTTTATTTTTACCATATATTTTGCTGTATATTTGTCTCTACTTAACATATTAGTGTGAGAGGATATATATATATATATATATATATATATTAGTGTGAGAGGAAGGGAGAGGGAGAGAGAAATATTGATGAGAGAGAAACTGCAGCCTGGGCATGTGCCCTGATAGGGAATCTAACTGGCGACCTCTCATTGCATGGGACGATGCTCAGCCAACTGAACCACACCATCCAGGGCTAACCATTTGTTTTTGAAGAAAATTTTATGATTGCCAAATTAAAAAAAAAAGAATGAAAAACTCTTCACATTGTTTGATGTTTCACTCTTTAACCCTTAAGGAACACTAACCCATAAGACACAGACAAACACTGGCATGTGACTCCTTTACCACCTGGCTGTAGCCTATTTCATCTGCCTCTCCTGACATTTTCACACCTAAGGACTTATCACTTGGAGAATGCCATCCTCTCCATGCCTTTGTGCCTGTGGGACACCTTGTTTGTTTTCTGATAACCTCCCTCCTTGCCAACGGGAGGACCCCAGGGCTGTGGACTTTTGCACGCAGCCATGACTTTTGGGAGAGGTGAGCACCTCCCTAGATTTGGAGGCTGAGTCTTCATTGGTCTGTAGGACGAAGGGATGAGAAGGGAAGTCTGGTGGGAATGCCTCCGGGAAGGTTTACCTCCCTATTTACAGTGACACCGTCAGGGACATCCCTTTCTTCCTCGGGACATTGTCATCACAAGAGATACTCGGAACTGTGTGGCTGCCATCTGGGGACCACAAGGAGCATTTGCCTGAGAAGACAAACCCACGCTGATCTTCACAGGTGAAAAGACGGCAAGGAGCTGGGTTTGACACATTCGTTGGCTGCCCTTCCAATAGCTGGCTATTTTTTGAAAAAATAAATGCCTTTACCAGCTAAGTCACTTTGGCTTTTTAATGTATATTTTTATTACTTTTTTAGAGAGAGAGGAAGGGGGAGAGAGAGACATGGATTGGTTGCAACCTGGGCATATGCCCTGACTGGGAATTGAACTGGCAACCTTTTGGTGCACGGGATGACGCTCGACCAACTGAGCCACACTGGCCAGGGCACTTTGGTGTTATTTTTAAAATTTTGTTTATTTGCTTACTTATTTGTTTGGCGAGGCACTTATGTGGTGTCTTTCTATATACTCAGTGTCCTCCTTTGCTTGGAAAACTGTTCATTCATCAAGATTCACTTAATTTGGTTCCATTAGCACCTCCTACATATGTTTATTACAGAACTCATCACACTTGGCTGGTTCTGGTCCTATTTACTCTAGTGCTCTCAGTGACCAGACGTAGATTTTTGTTCACGACTCTATGTACTTGTTGGATTAAACGATTCTAGGTGGCAGATTCTATCACACAAGGCAGTGCTTTTCAACTGCCATGCTGCAAGAGTTTTTAAAACATGCAATACCTGACTATTTAGTCAGGGCACTGACCTCTTTTACCTTGAAGTGTCAAATAAAACAACGACAACAGCCAACACAACGATAGCCATCTGGTGTGAGTGATTAAAAATTATACCTTTTTGGGGGGTCAGATTGGCAAAAACACAACGTATTTGTTGGTGTGCTGCAGAATTTTAGTAATTAGTTTATGTGGGCCGTGAGATGAAAAAGGTTGAAAATCGCTGACCAAGAGAATGAAAGCGGTCTGGGGAAATTGGGCCTGAGCTAGTGGGGAAGAGCAGGGTGGCAGCACCTCTCTGATTGCCGATGGCAAGAAAGACTGGAGAAATGTGGCCTCCTCACAGCTGTGCCAGGGCTGCCTCTGAACACTACAGAGGCGACACGTGTGGAAGCCCCTTGTAAACTCTGTGCAGATGCGGCAGCAGGACCGGCCCAGCGGTAGCAGTGCTTGTTGTTTCTGTTTCCGGAGCCAGCTGAGTCATTTTTCCAAACCACAATTCTTCCTGGAGCAGCATCAATTGACTTGCCTTTGGCTGATATTGAGTTGGGACTCTGGGAATACTACAAACTATTTTCCAAAATTTGCATAAAATTGCAAATTTTAGGCTAAATGGGAGGGGGAAAGATGCTGTAAAAATTAATTGGACCAAAGGGAATGGTCTCTAATCAAATTGCCAACTCCCCCTCCCAACTGCCCCCAAAACACTCATCATATTTGATATGAAAGTAATCTGATGACAAATAGGTGCAGTCAAAGGAACCAGTTCTTCCAATACAGTTGAGGATGCTGCTAAGTAGATTTTAAAAGCGACTGGAGTCAAACGGAACTCGAAGAGGAGACAGAAAAGAATTGTTAAGTGGTGCATAAATAGAACGGATAATTTTGGTGGTTTGGAGAAAATGGGTAGGAAACTGGGACTGGAGGGTCTAATGTTAGCACAGGAAGTGCCAGTTATCAGAGGTCTCTATTTTCTTGAACAGAAGCGTGCTCCAGTATCTGGGGTGGGGGGTGGTGGTGGGGAGAGGGGGCCAGCGGGAGGGAAGATGGGTCATAGGTGAACAATCTCTTGGATGCGCTGGAGGATTGGCCTTGGAAATTCCACGGGAGGAGAGAAAAAAGACTCAAGGAGATCTTGGCAGGTGGGAGGAGGTTGGAGCAGAGATAGCAAGTCTGGGCAACAGAAAAAGGGAGGCAAAGGGGAAGGGAAAGCCAAGAAAACATTTTTCAGTGCTTTGTCTGAGGCACAGGCAGCCCTGAGCACAGCTGTGAGGAGGTCACATCTCTCCAGTCTTTCTTGCTACCGGCAATCGGAGATTTGCTGCCAACCAGCTCTTCCCTGCTTGCTCAGTCCCAATTTTGCCCGATCACTTTCGTTCCTTTAGGTATTTGCTCTTTGAAAGGTAAAAATATAGCAAGTCTGACAAAGGAATGCACTGAGGGATGGGGGTGAGGATTGCATATTTAAAAGAATTCTTGTAAACATTCCTTTCTTTCAAGCATGTATTTTAAAAGGAGGTCTCTGTAAAGTCTGCCTTAATTCGAGGGAGCGTCTAAAACAGGGTATTTCTGATATTGCTAATAGACCTATAGTGGTAGCAAACACATTTCCATGGCTCTAAAATTATAATTAAGTCTAGAAAGGGAAGAACTGATTTTTTTTTTTTTAAAGAACAGTTTACTGATTTTTAGAGAAAGAGAGGAAGGGAGCAGGAGAGAGAAACATCTGTGTGAGAGGGTAACATGGATGGGCTGTCTCCTGCATGCCCCTTACAGGGGATTCAGCCTGCACCCCAGGCATGTGCCCTTGACCCGGAATTGAACCAGCACCTTTTGGTGCATGGGATGACGCCCAACTAACTGAGCCACACCAGCCAGGGCAGAGCTGAATTTTATACTTTATCTGTTACAGGCCTGGAATTGTGCTAAGTGCTTTATTATTATTATTATTACATATATATGCTCTTCATTCCATTTTACAGGTATGGAGCTGGAGGTCAAGTTCAGAGAGGCTGGTACCAGCCAGTGGCAGATGGCAATGATCAAAGGTGACTGCCGCAATATCTTCCATATGACATGTTCTTGTAGAATAGGGGTCAGTGAACTTTTCTATCAAGAGCCATACGTATTTTAGGCTTTGCGAACCAGGCCACCAGTGTCCCAAACACTTAGCTCTGCCATTGTGGCAGAGATGTATATAAATGAACAGGCTGGCTGTCTTGAAGAGGTGAGCCAGATTGCACAGGAGAGCCGTTTGCTAAGCCTGCTCTCCGACGTCGCTATTTACTGTCAGGAGGTGGGGTCTAATTCCCCTCTCCTTGAACTCGGGGAAATGTGTGATTTGCCCGGGACTGAGAGAATGTGAAGGAAGTGACACTGCATGACCTCTGAGGCTAAAGAGGTGATGCAATGTCTACCTTACTCTCGGCTTGGAGCCCTGAGCCACCACCGAAGCAGTCCAGTTGTCCTGAGGCCCCATGCTGTAAGCGAGCCATGCTAGCCATGTGCAAAGACGGAGAAGCGCTGAGGCTGTAAGAAGAGGGGTGATGCTCAGCCAGCCCCAGTTTTAGCGCTTCCCCTGACTGCAAGCCCTGGAGAGATGCTGAGCCACAATTAGCCAGTGGACGCTCCTCCAAGCTCCTGCCCCATAGAAACGGAGGAATAATATGATGATTCTGTTGTTTTAAGACACACAGAACATCGCTCCCAAACTGGTGTGTGGCAGCTATGGGATGCAAACCGAGGCTGGCCTGACTTCAACCATGTATTCTTTCTATTACATGATTGCTTCCAGCAGAGGTTGTATTTTTTTTTAAACTGCTAAAATATATGTAACAAAATTTACTGTATTAACTATTTGAAAATGTACAGTTCAATAAGTACAGTTACATTGCTGTGCAACCAAGTCTCCAGAATTCTTTTCTTGACTCCAGCCTCTAGAACCACCATTCTCCTTTCTGTCTCTGTGAATTTGATGACTCTAGGTCCCTTGTGCACGTGTCCTTCTTGTGACTGGCTCATTGCACTTAGTGTGAGTATGTGTGTGTGTGTGTGTGTGTGTGTTTCTGTATTTATGTATTTTAAGCCCGTGTTGGTTAGCGAGCCTGACCAGTGAGTAGCAAAGGTTTGTCAAGGAAAAACATCAGAGCTTCCAGGCCCTGTAAGTCACAGATGCAGCACGTCCCAGGAAGGACCTTGCCCTCACTCTCACAATGACAACTCAGTGTCCTGCCTCTACAGGGCTTTGAAGAAAAAGGAACCCATGCATCAAGAATAAGATAAGGCTGTTGGATTTGTTTCAGCTTGCGCGCTGTTTGACTTCCCTCTCAGAGCCATGCCCTGAGAATGAAATCATTTTCTCTCACGCGGCCCTTGCAAAGAGCATCCAACACAAACACTCGCTGTCTGCTTCCTTATTTCCTCTCTGTCCAGGGTGTGCACTGAGTTGGTGGAATTTCTGTGGCTGGCTGTGAATTATATATCGAGCCAAAAATCCTGCAGGGAATCAGCTCAAATGCTACTACTTGCTTACGCAGACGAAGATGGAGCTTTTGGGAGTTTCCTTGACCTTCTCTGCCTTCCCTTGTGCCTAACCTAAGACCAAAAGGCCGAGGTCACACTTTTATTTTTTAAATATATTTTTATTGAATTCAGAGAGGAATGGAGTGGGATAGAGAAATAGAAACATCAATGATGTGTGATCTCTGAGTCCGTGCCCTGTTTATAACACAGCATGCTAACTTCGCTTCTGTGATAGAGCTGTTGAGAGGTTAAGTGAAATAATATATGTCAAGGTCCTAGCACAGGACCCAGAACAAAGTAAATGCTTAGTGGTATTATTACTAATTAGAGGCCCTGTGCATGAAATTTGTACAAGAGTAGGCCCTCGCAGCCGCCCAGGCTTCATCCGGAAAGTCGTCCGGAAGGTTGTCCAGATAGTCGTTCTGCTGTTCGGCCGTCTGGTCTAATTACCATATTACACTTTTATTATTATAGATTATTATTATAGATTGTCATTAATTGTAGTTAGCATTATTAAATTGCAATTAATAGCTATTATTTGCACCATCTTTGATATTCACTGTCTCCTATTTCCAGGCTTCACATAAATAAGGTATCTAATAACACATTCAACCTATTTTAAGTTCGGCTAATAACATCTCTTGTTGAAGTTCTTCAAGGCTCTGTGAACAGGGGAAGTCCCCTATAACAGGAGGGCCTTTCTCTTTGCTGCCCAGCTGATGGGACTTTTCCCAGCAGCCGGAGGGCATTTGAAAATGTACAGTTCAATAAGTACAGTTACATCCTCAGCGAGGATGCTCCCATTCCCCCTGGCTGCCTGCATTCCCTGACCCGTCTGGTCAGACCTGGTATTTTTCCTCCCTCCTCCTGGGCAGCTTCCATATCACCCAGACAGCTGCTGCCACATCCCGTTGCTTCAGAAGCGGAAGGAAGGCGCATTTCGGACCTTTCCGGGTGAGTGACAGCATTTGAGATGAGATGAATGAAATGCCAGTGCTGAGGGAAAACCAGACTTCCCCCAGTCACCTCTGCTCCACCTTCCTCGTGACACACAGAACGAGCCTGACCGATGTTAGTCCCTGCCTTCTGGTCTGGCAGCCTCTTTGGGAGACAGTGGGTGCTGGTGACGTGGGTGTGAACTGTCCCTTTGTAAGGGTGGCTTTGAGACACCCTGCCACTGAGTGAGCCTGCATGTAACTGGCCACTTTGTCCTTGGCTGTGCCACTGAGCCTGCCAGCGATCTGTGTACGTCACAGGGGTATCTGTTCCAGGGGCAGGGAGGTATTATTCCAGGTCACCCATGGGTGCTGCAGGGATTTTCCTCAGCCACCACATGATGACTGAGTAAGAGCATTCCAGGAAACCAGAAGGGCTGCTCGAGCCTCTGGAATGTCAAAGGAAACTGCTTGGCAAGGCTGCCGGCCCTTTTCTGCTGTGTCATTTTCTCTGAGCCGCGCTCACCTATGTGGCTGCATGCTCACTTCCCGCCGAATCCCACAAACTTTAACCTTTACCTTCCTTACAAGGGAGAGCCTATTTTTTCCCCTACACAGAAACTGTAATTTTTTAAGATTCAAGGTGTCCCCAAAGGTCATGATAAAGACTATTTACAAGAACAGGGGAAACTCACAGATGAAGAATATCCACTCCCTTTTAATTCAAATGTATTCTGTTTAACTAGCAGGAGGGACTGGTTGTATTACATCTGATTGAGGCCATATGCACCCAAGGGTACCACTTATGGACTCAATGTTTGTGTCCCAACAAAATGCATATGTTGAAGCTCCAACTCCCAATGTGATGGTGTTTGAAGATGGGACCTTTGGGAGGTGAGTAGGTTCAGATGAGGTCATGAGGGTGGGGTCCCCATGATGGGATTAGTGCCCTTAGAAGAAGAGACACCAGATCTCTCTGATTCTGTCTCTTTGTCTCTTTCTCCCCATGTAGAAAGGCCACGTGAGAACATAGTAGGAAGGCAGCCATCTGCAACTGAAGACAAAGACAAAAGCTCTCATCAGACATCTAACCTGCTGGCACTTAGATCTTAGACTTCCCAGCCTCCAGAATTGTGAGAAATAAATGTCTGTTTTTTAAGCTACCCAGTCTCTGGTATTTTGTAAAAGCAGCTCAAGCAGACTAGGCTATATCTCAGGAGCAAAAGAAACTAAACTCCAGCCCTAACTGGTTTGGCTCAGTGGATAGAGCATCGGGCTGTGGACTGAAGGGTCCCAGGTTCGATTCCGGTCAAGGGCATGTACCTTGGTTGCGGGCACATTCCCAGTAGAGGGTGTGCAGGCGGCAGCTGATCGATGTTTCTCTCTCATCGATGTTTCTAACTCTCTATCCCTCTCCCTTCCTCTCTGTAAAAAAATCAATAAAATATATTTAAAAGAAAAAAAAGAAACTAAACTCCAAGAAATAGAGCACAAAGACCCAGGCGGCTGTCACTGGGTACTCCTCCTCCCTGCCCTAAAAGACAAAGTCATGATTTTCCACAGATGCTTCCAGAAGCAAAGTCTAGCCCAGGGATGGGCAAACTTTTTGACTCGAGGGCCACAATGGGTTCTTAAACTGGACCGGAGGGCCGGAACAAAAGCATGGATGGAGTGTTTGTGTGAACTAATATAAATTCAAAGTAAACATCATTACATAAAAGGGTACGGTCTTTTTTTTTTTTTTTTAGTTTTATTCATTTCAAACGGGCCGGATCCCGGCCCGCGGGCCGTAGTTTGCCCACGGCTGGTCTAGCCACGACACATGGCATATGCAAAAAGGAAGATCCAAGGCTGTGAGCCCTGGGATCTGCCAGAGCCTGCCTCGCAGAGCCTGGCCCTCCCCCTCAGCGGGTTTCATGGCAGCAATTTCTACCTCCTGTTTCCTGAAGGACATGGCTTTTCATTCCCCTCACTCACAGCAATTCCACATGTAACCCCACAGCAATCCTGCGAGGGCATCGAACAGGTGTTACTATGAGTGTGTCCTCGGCACTGTAGGGGTCACGCCTTGGCTGATGAGCTTTGCAAAAGGATAAGGTATCTAAGTCTTGGAAAAGAGTCACTGTCATTAAACCGTGAATAAATCTGCAAAATCAAAACTAATAAAAATTTAATTAAATGCTGTTATAAACTAATATTATGTCAGCATCACTTATTGTTAAACTATTAACAAAGTTCCATTACATTTTTATTTTATTTTTTAAATATACCTTTATTGATTTCAGAGAGGAAGGGAGAGGGAAAGAGAGATAGAAACATCAATGATGAGAGAGAATCATTGATTGGCTGCCTCCTTCACGTCCCCTCCTGGGGATCAAGCCCACAACCCAGGCATCGGCCATTGACTGGATTCGAACCTGAGACCTGTTAGTCTGCAGTCTGACGCTCTATCCACTGAGCCAAGCTGGCTAGGGCTCCATTACATTTTTAAAAAATGTTTTTATTGATTTTTAGAGAGAGAGAGGTAGTGAGAGGGATAGAGAGATAAAAATAGTGATAACAGAGAAACATCATGGATTGGTTGCCTCCTGCACGCCCCCTACTGGGGATCAAGCCTGCAACCTGGTCATGTGCCCTGACTGGGAATAGAACTTGCGACCTCTTGGTTCATGGACTGATGCTCAACCACTGAGCCACACCTGACAGGCTGAAAATACTTTGTGGATTAAATTTTTTTTATTTTTTTATTTTGTGAGGGTTTCCTATATAGGTTTGATTACCAAGGAATCACAGCTAATCAAACTGAGTAAATTTTGCATACATAAATTTAATTATAGACAAAAAAATGATAAAAAATCTTTCAAAATATTTACAGAAAACACATTTAATGGGGATGTGGATCACTGTAATATGTTGGAAATAATTTAGGGTGGATTTTCTAAAGGAAGCAGCTCCTGCGTTGAGCGTCTGAACCCTGGTGGTCATTGTGCGTCATAGCTACTGGTAGAATGGTGGAAGGGTCGGTTGGTCGCTTAGGCTTTTATATATATAGATTTTTTTTTTTTTTGCTTTCAGACTATCATTTTAGATTGAAAACGTAAAGGCCATTTTCTGAATTTGAGACTCAAGTACAAAAGGGGCTTTGCTGTCACTATTAAATTAGCCTTGAAGACTGCTAATTAGACCACAGGCCTTAAAAGCTGCCTTCTTAGGCAGCTTAATCAGTTGTTATTCTTTTAAAGTAAGAACTTTGTTTACATTGAAAACTTCCAGTAGATTGATAAGAATAATAAAAACAAACATATAGACATTACACTCCTAAAAAAAACAAACAAAAGAAAATAAATCAGTGATTCAACTGGCAGATTTTCCTTTACAGCTTGCCTTTGATTTATAAATTTCTATTTCCTGCCCCAGGGAGGGTAGTGAAAGCAAGGTTATGGTGCTGTAAACTGTCTTCTGGATTATGCTAATTTGCTGTAGGTACTCCAGGCTGCTTATTCAGCACAAACTATTAGTTTTTGGCTACAGAAGGCTGCTCTCTGTATATCTGTGGTTGTTGTCACTTTAGTTCTCTTAATTCAAAAACTCCATATTCTTGATCAGTGTTGACAAATGGCACACTCAGAAACACAGTGAATTTATAATCGACTTCATAAAAAACATTAATATTGATGAAATCAGTCTTTATCTAACACTTTGTTGGATTAGCCTGAAAACCTTTCCTCTTCTCCTCACTAACCGCCCCCCCCCCCCCACCACCCCCTAGGACTGGAAGAGCAGGTGAGGGGACATTCCACCTGATGGAAACACCCCCAGTTTGGGTTGTGATTGGCTCCTGGCACTGTTCACCTGGGAGACTGCTCCTGGATCCACACAGATGTCATGGTTCCCAGCAAGGTGATCAGGAACTCTATTCCCTCTAAGTTCTTTCAAAGTGGAGAAGCAACTGTTTATGTTGCTTGTTTGTCTATGGCTTTGCCCCAAGTGAAACTGACTTCAGTGGTGCTATGACATAATCCTAGAGGAATGATCATTTGTTTGCCAGATCTTTGGATGCTGAAAAAAGGGAGAGATGCAGGGAAGTCAGCAGAGAAAGAGGAAAGGTAAAGAAGAGAATAAGAACTTATTGAGCACTTACTGTATGCCATTTACTGTGTTAAATCAGCTAGATTAGCCTTAAGAAATAGAGATTCCCATTTTATTGGTGAGGGCACCAAGGCAAATAATGGTTACTTGCCAAAACTATAAGTGGTTACGTGCCAAACAATGGTTGGCTTTCTGTTGCCCGATGGCCCCCCAACCCCAATTCCATGCCTTCTATTGCACGTGTAGAAACAGAGGAGTGCAGCTGGGATACAGGGGGAGGAGAGGGAAGGGAGGAAGGGAAGAAAGAAAAACTAAAAAAAAAAAAGAAAAAGAAAAAAAGTGAGAGAGCTCTGAAATGCTGCCAATAGTTATTCAAGGTCAATTCTATCTGCGGCGAGGGTAATCCTAAGCAAGACCACAAACTAGGCATACCTTGTTTCTGGGTCACATTGCCCTATCTTTGCCATTTCGGGAGGGTCCTAGTTTTAAGAAGCTATTTGGTAAATTTTCAACTTAATTCTCATTCCTCAGAGACATTGCTATGTAATAGGAAAATTTTGCCAAAAGTATAATGACAATTTTCTGCAAAATACATTTGAGAAGGGAACACTTATTTGCTTAGTAGGATGATCCAGCTTCCAGGTTGGCCTTGTAAGCAGAAAGTCTGTGTTTTTTTGTTGTTGTTGTTTTTGTTTTTAATTGCAGAGACAACTCTCTCCAGTCTTGTTTTCAGTTTCTACAATATTGCATTTTTAGATTCCTGACCCTCCTTCACATTTCACTCTGGGTTTTGGAATGGGGAGGAATTCCTTCCCTGGAGGAAGCCCTTCCCTCTCTGTAGCAATCTGGCTTGAAGGCCTGTAAAGAGGTTTTGTTTTAATTCCAATAGTAAAAATGTGGAAACGTCATTTGTTAATGGGTTTACCACAGTCTAACTTGACAAATGAACATAGCTTTGCTTAAAAAGTAGAAAGACAGTGACAAAAATAAAATTCACTTGGGGAGGAAATGACATCAATACATTTAGAATACTTTTTAAATGTTAAAACCATTTGGGGTTGCTATAGACTGAATATTTGTGTTTACCAAAATTAATATGTTGACATTGTAACCTCCGGGGTGTTGGTATTAGGAGGTGGGGCAATTTGTGATAGCAGCCTAAATAAACTAAGACAAGGGTATTTTGGGATTCATCCCATGTCATATGGAAAATAGAATTTAAGCAAAGCAAATGAGTATTTCACTCCTCAGCACACAAGTGAAGTTAGATGAGAGTGTTGCAACAGAAAAAGCAGCTCTACTTTTACAGGTTTACGATACAGCTGTGAATTTTGAAAATGGGAACAAAAATTGCATCACGTTTTTACTTGATTTATCTTTCCCATATTTGAGGATTTGTTGTAATTCCTGGGTCTGAGGCCATGAGGTCATCAAAAACACCACCTTGGATGTGACAACAGCCCCAAGTCCCCTGCTTTGATGGTTCATGAACCATTATCAGGGAGAAATAAGACACTTACAAAATATCTAAATAAAATGGAGTGACAAGAAGCTAAAGAAAAACAGAAGCTTCACGTGTCAGGGAAGCTTTTGTTTATGAAATCACAGTTGTTCAGCTCACCCGTTCTCCTCTAGTGCTAACTGAAACCCCCAGCGTCCCCACTGAGAGGCCTGGGCGGGGGAGGTGGGGGGAGCCTGAGGTTGGGCAAGGGCTAAAGCCAAACTTCATTCCCTCATATAGGCTTTGAAAAGAACTTGATGTCATTTTGGAATCTTACCTACCTACCAGGTAGGAACAAATCACCTTTGAGACAAGTCTCATCACGGAACACACCTTGGGTATCAGCTGCAAAGCCTGTCATCAGCCTCCATTGCCTCATCTTGCCCTTCAGACTTGCAGCCTCCCTGCCTGAATGCTCCCCGCTCCCCTCATGTCTGAACTCATCTCCTCATATGCTGGATAAAGAGCTTCTGGTTGGGGCTGGGCCCTCCCGCCCTGGAAAGAAATAGCTGCCTTCGGAATATCAGAGCAATTCTAATCAGGCGTGACTCAGCTCTTCCGTGACCTCTGTTT